CACATCCCGGGCAGTGCTGGGAGCCTGTGCGTCCTCGGCAGCACCCTCACCTTTGGGCCCCTCTCCTCCTGTCTGGTCATGGATAAGCGTCACCCACAGCTGGGGGCTGGCTTCCTCTGAGATTTGTTGAGGACCTGCCCTTCCTGGTATTAGAAGGTCCTCACAGGCTCCCTTCCCCCCCCCCAACCCCCATCCCAACCCCATCCCAACCCCATCCCAGTGGGGGGGGGGTGGGCGGGAAGTTTATTTATTTAATAAACATTGATTGAGCACCTACAGTAGACTGAGGATGTGGCAGTGATCAAGACAAGCACAGTGTGTCCCTGGAGGAGTCTGGGAGGGAGACACCCACAAACAAGAAAAGACCAGTCCAGGATGATGGAGGTTGGGTGGGGGAGGGGTGCTGCTTCAGATGGAGAAGCCGTCTCTGAGAAGGTGACAATTGTCCTGCAGCCTGAGTGGAAGACAGGGCAGCCAGGAGCTTCCCAGGCAGAGGGAACGATAGGAAGAGGTAAAGTCAGAGACGTGGACAGGGGCTGAACCCTTAGGGCTTTGTAGGCCAGGTAGGAGTTGGGTTATGAAGGCAAGAGTGACGAGAAGCTATGTAGGGTTTGAAGCAGAGGTAGTGCCTAGACCTCAGGGCCCTGCCCCAAACCTCCTTTGCTGGCCTCGCTGCACCTGGAATGTGGAGACCTCACTCCTGAATCCCTCTCTAATATGGGGAGGGGGGAAATGAGGTGTCAGGATCAGGCCAGGAGCCCAGACAAAACTTGTCCTTCCCTGCCTCCATCCTGCTCATCTGCAATCTCTCTACCTAGTCCCAGAGGGACTTTGTTTCCCTTAAAATTTATTGTGAAAATTTACAGGTGGCAGGTTCCTGGTGTTCCCAGCCAGGAACTCAGAGGCCAACCCGCTCATATTTGTTTCACACCATGGTATGGGCTAAGTTGTGTCTCCCCAAACTCGTCCGTTGGAGTCCTAAGCCCCGTACCGCAAAATGTGACTGTATTCAGAAATAAGGTCTTTAAAGGGGTAATTAAGTTAAAATCAAGTCATATATCTGTGCCCAAACCAATATGCCTGGTGTCCTTATAAGAAGAGGAAATTTGGACACAGACAGATACAGGGAAGGCCATGTGAAGACACAGAGAGAAGACAAGCTATGGAGACAGGCCTCAGAAGAAACCAACCCTGCCAACACCTTGATCTTGGACTTCTAGTCTCAAATATAAGAAAATAAATTTATGTTGTTTAAACCACCCAGCCTGTGGGGCCTTGTTAGGGCAGCCTCAGCAAACTAACACAAGAAGTGTATTAGTTATCTATGTTGTGTCACAAATAACCACAAATACCATGGCTTAAAATAATATACTCTAATTTTCTCACAGTTGCCATGGGTCAGGAGTCCAGGCACTTGATCGGGGCCTCACGAGGCTGCGATCATGGTGTAGGCTGGGGCTGCCGTCTCATCTGAGGTTGGGTCTTCTTCCAGGCTCACGTGGAAGAATTCATTTCCTTTCATCTGTAGAACGCATGGAATTGGGCGGCTTCAAGGCCAGCAGGACAATCACTGACATTTCACATCTCTGACCTCTAGACCCAGCTTCAAAGACCTTGCCTGATTATATCAGGCCCACCTAGTACAATCTTTCTGTATTAGGGTTCTTCGGGGAAACAGAACCAATAGGATCGATGTCTGTGTCTATTCTATCTATCTACCTATATATATATAGAGAGAGAGAAAGAGAGATGTTATATATCTTACATTTTATATATAAAGAGCTCTACTGTAAGGTACTGGCTCGTGCAATTATGGAGGAAGTCCCATGATCTGCCATCTGCATGTTGGAGGCCAAGAAAGCCAGTGGTGTAGTTCCAAGGCCTAAGAACCAGAGAGCCAATGGTGTGGATTCCAGTCTGGGTCCGAAGCCCTGAGAACCAGGAACACCGAGGGCAGGCAAAGATCAACATTCCAGCTCAGTCAGGTAGAGAGGGAATCCAACCTTCCTGCACCGTCCTGCAACTTTTTGTTCTAGCCAGGCCCTCCACGGATTGGGTGATGGCCAGTCGCCTCCCCTCCACGGTGGGGAGGGCCATTGGCTTTACTCGGTCTACTGATGCAAATGCTTATCTCTTCCAGAAGCACCTTCACAGACACGCCCAGAAATTGAGTTTAACCGGATACCTGGGCTTCCTGTGGCTCAGTCAGGTGGACGCATAAAATTAACCATTACGTTTCTTTTTGATTAACATCAACTGACGGGGAGCCTTGATTGCACGTGCCCAAATCCCTTCACCTTCGCCGTATCACATAACCTGTCACAGGAGTGATGTCCGTCATATCCACTGGCCACGAGAAGAAAAGGCACGTAGTGTACGAGGGCGTGGGTCATTGGGGATCGTCATGGAAAGTGGAGGCCATTCCTGGGGAGGGCATTTGGTGCGGATCTGTCCCTGGTCCACATTTTTGTACTTAAAACCGAGGGATGTGTTTTCCCTGTACAGGAGGGACCATGTGACCCAGTGTGACCAGCCGGGGAGTCTCCTCTGGCTCCTGTGCGCTGGGCTGTGGCCATGCATATGGGGACCTGCTAGATAGGCCTAGGGGCCTCCCTCCGGGATGGTGTCTGGGGCTGGAGACACTCCTGGTTAAATCACTTCCGGGTTACAGGAATCACTTCCTGGTTCTGTGCTTGGCCAAGAGACTTCCGAGGGCCTCTACTTAGCCCCCAGTCAAGTGGGGATAACACTCCTTCCCTGGGACAGGCCCATGTGGGCAGGGCCGGCTGGGCACCCCATGGGAGACCCAAGAAATGTCAAAAAGGACCATCCTTAGTCTGTGGGAGGTGTAGGCCAGCACCTGGGCTCCTGCCCACCCCCCACCTTGCTTAAAGTGCATCTCTGCTCTCTTTCCTGTGCTCAGGTGAAAAAGGTTATTTATTCTTACCTCTGGCCCTGGGAGTCCTGTCTTTGGTCCAGATACCTCCTGCTGTGTGTGTAGGGGGAGACAGGTGCTCCAGGGACACCTCTCACCGCAGCCCCTAATCCTCACCTCTCTAGTGAACACAAGAGGTGCCATCACGAAGGCAACGGGCTGAGTGGCCCAAACCAGAACCGAATGTCCGCACAGCCTGACATCACACGCCCCCTCCTTCCAGAGGGAAGGGATGTGGACTGGAGGGCTTGAGCATGTGGGGGCACCGTGAGTGAGACCTGAGCCCCCTCCCCACCCTGTGATCCCAAAGAGGGCAGGCCCAGACTCTGGTCCTGGCTGGGCCACCTTGGAGCTGGACTGTTCCAGAAACCCAGGACACATTTGCCACCACCCACAGTGTGGCTGGCAGGGTTGGGAGGGGGGAGTGTGAGGAAGAGGGAAAGGTCCAGGCTCCCCAGTTCCTCCCAGGGTCTCTTCTCCTTTGACTACCAGTGAGAGTGGGGCTGCCTTTCTCTGGAATCAGGAGGTGGGGTGGGTGCAGACCCTTGCCAACCCTTTTTTGGCTGACAGCTTTGGGGTGGGGGTAGACAGAGAGGGACAACCCCACATGCACATAGGGCCTTTGGGGCAGGAGTAACAGCCTAGATCCCTAGGAAGGGTCAGGTAGGTCTTGGCTACCTTCAAAGGCTGCAGTCCCCACTCCCAGCTCTGTCCTCCGGGATGAATGGTTCATCTGGCTGGCAAGGTGGGGGACAAGGACTTGGAGGGTCTGGGGCTGGATAAGATGCCTGATCTAGTTGAGGGGGTTAGTCTCCCCCAAAAGCACCTGGGGCAGGGTGTTGTGGCCAGAAACAAGAATGCCAGGGGCCTGTAGCGGTGTTTGCTAGGCTGTTTGCTTGTCTGTATGAGGGCCCCATGATGTCCCTTGTAGAGGATTCTACATGAGGTGTCCAGCTACTACTATTTGGAAAAAGCCAGTTAAATCTGCACAGCCAGTTGCTTGAGGCCATTGAGTTCAAAACCTTTATTTTCTGGCTCCAGAGTAGGGGATGGCTGACAAGGGCAGGTGCTGGGACTTGGCCTCTCTCACCTCCCTCATTATACCTCCTGACTGGCAGGTAGATGGGGGCTGGCTGGGGCTCTGTTGGCACGGAGAGCTCCTTTCACTATTGCAGGGGCCCCAGTGGCCTGAGATGAAGCAGGTGGGCCTAGGTTCTCCCTGCAGCCAGCTGGGCCATACATTCCACATCCACACCTTGACCCACTGTGGAATCCTCCCTCCATCTGGGAGCAACTTCAGGGGGTGGGGTCCGGTGTATTGGGGAGCTCTAGCAGCGGGTGGGGACCAACCCCTTGGGGCAGGGCCTCCTAACTCTACCCTGATGGATGCAACTGTCTCCTTCCCCTCTTTATTCCTCAACAGCTCAGAGCTCTGCTCATGTGTCCCTGCCAGTCCCTGGGCAGCTTCCTTTCTGGCAGGGGAGGTAAAAGTTGAAGTGAAAGGGATGTTTGGGCTGAGCTGGAATCCTAGGATTCCCATGCACGAATTCACTGGACACTGCAAAAACGATCCTGCAGGGCAGGGACAAAAAGACAGGTCCACATCAGCTCAGATCACACCTGAGTTTGGGCCTGCCTGGGGGCCTTGGGAAACTGCCTGGGAGGCTCATTCAAAGAAGAGTACCGCTTGCTTCTGATCAGGCCCCTTGCTGGTTGTTGCGGACACTTGGGTGCCCTGTGTCATGAACCATGGCTGAGTGCTGCTGAGCATGTAATGGGAGCCCACCTAGCATCGCAGTCTTTCCCACAGGAGTTGAGGAGGTGTGGGGTAGGAGCAGAAGGTCCTTTTGGTCTGATAAACAGCCCTCAGGCTGAGGGGGATTGCCTTGGAGCAGTGGTTCTCAACGAGGGGACATGTGGGGGAGAGAAGGTGGAGGCCAGGCACAGGGAGGCTGCTGACCCCCCTACAAGGCACCGGATGGCCCTCACAACAAAGAACGATCTGGCCCAGACGTTACTAGTGCCATCGTTGAGAAACTGTGTTGGATGCCCTTCATTAGCCAGTATGGCTCAAAGGCTGAAGCCGTTCTGGGCTGAGGTGGAAAGGGGGGACAGGGGATCCGGGACAGCTCAGTGGTTCCCTAAGCCCCCAGGCCACGAAGGAGAAGGCATAGCGGGGCCCAGGTTCCTGCACAACCACAACGCGGGCACGCAGCAGACGCCCGGGAACCGCGAGCGCGTGGGACCTCTGGGGGGCAGGAAGCTTCGCGGGCCTCAGTTTCCCCGACGGGGAAATTATAGACCAGGGCCTGGGCGTGGGGCCCAGGCCAGGAAGGCCCACACCCCTGGTTGGCTAGGCCGTTCGGAAACCGCGCTGCTGCAGAGGGATTCTATGACAGAGAGGGAGAATCGATAGTCGAAAGGGGGAACAAGCCACCCACCCCAGGTCCAGGGCCGGCCTCCCCCGGCCTTGGGCTGACTTCCGCTACCGCCAAAACGACCAGGCAGCCGGGGGTCGGGGAAGAACTACAACTGCCACGATGCCGTGCGCCGCTTACGCTGGGGAACGAGCGACCGCCGCCGGCCAACGGGAGGGGCGGGCGGGGCCTCGGCGCACGTGGCGTCGTGACGCGCCAACGGGGACGTCGGGGTTTGTGTGCGCGAGAGGCGACCGATAAAGGTTGGGTGCCTCGCGCCGGGGGCTGTTGGGAGGGAGCGCGCCCCCGCCCCCCTCCCAGGCCCCCAGTCCTGTCCCGCCGCTGCCGGGGCCCCGTCTTCCCGTCGGCCCCCGTGGGAAGGCCCTAGGTCTCCCCCGCTCATTCCCCCGGTCGGGGCCGCAGGTGAGAGACCGGAGGGGTGGGGGTGGGGGGAGGGACAGGAGGGCGGAGACGTTGGGGAAACGGCGAGCGTGAAACCGGAAGGGATGCCTTAAAGGGAAGGGCGCTACTTCACCTCCGACTTTTGTCCGCTAGGCCGGCTCCGCCCTTTTAAAGGGCAAGGGGCTCCTTTTGGAGCGGCGGGTGAGGTTATGCAGTTCCCCTTAGCTTCCCGCTTTTTGTCCTCTAAGGATGGGTTATCTTGTGAAAGGTCACGGACAGTGTCCCAGACACCGAAGGAATAATTTCTGAGTCCTGGTGGCTTCCCAGCCTACACTAGCTTAGCTCAACAAAGGTGGACATGGGTGTGCGGTGGGAGTAGCCTCTTAAAGGGGAAGTCGGGCCTGATGGAAGGGTGTGGTCCGGCCTTTCGAAGGGGGTGCTCTTCATTGGGCAAGATGGGCCCGGCTCTTGCAGGGGGCGGATGCCTCTTGTTTACGGCATGCTCGGTCTTCCGAAAGGCATGGGCAGCTTCTCTTAAAAGGACTTGCTTACATTTTAAAGAGGATGCTCATCTTATTAAAGGGAATCTTTATAGCCTGTCCAAAGGGGATGCCCAGCCTTTTTTCTTTCAGAATATGTTTTCTCAGTGCTCGCTCTATGCCGGACTTTGTTTTAGGCGTTGGAGCGCGACAGTGATTAAGATGCCACTACATTTAGTGGGTAGAGGGCTAGGGATGCTGCTAAACACCCCATAGTGCTCGGGACAGGCCCCTCGGCGCTGGTCAGCCCCACATCTCAACAGTGCTGAGGTTGGGAAACCCTGATCAGAAGCAGGTTAGGAGGTGAGAAGTACTATAGAGAACGGGGAGTGTTGGAAGGGGTTGCAAATTGAGGTCTGGTGCAGGAAATGTCTCCCCGAGGTGACATGTCAGCAAGCACCCTGGCAGGAAGGCGGGGGGAGGTCCCTGGCAGGGGCCTGTGTGAGGCTCCAGGTGGTGACTGGATGGTGTGAGAGTCAGAGAGGCTAGCCGGAGGTCAGGGAGGGGAGGAGGCCATGGCATGGGAAGTCTGTAGGCTCCTGTAAGAGATTTGTGTTCTCTGAAATGGGAGCAGTAGAGGGCAAGTTCCCTGCAGCCTCTGTGTTGGGCGCATCCTGGGGGTAGGAGGAGTAGGGGTGGAAACATGGAGATCTGTTTTAGGAGGCTGTTGCAGCTGCCCAGGAGGAAGGCCCTGGACAAAGGTGGCAATGGGGGACTCAGGAGAGAAGTGGCCAGATTCCGGATATGTTCCTGCTGAGACAGGAGAACCCGCTGCTGGATTGGGCATAGGTGGTGAGAGAAAGAGGCGACGCCTGAGGAAGGACCGAGCGGTTTTCAGGGATGGAGACTGTGGGTGAAGAAGGGAGCGAGCAGGAGTGAAAAAAAACCCACCAAGTTAGATTTGGGGCATGATAAAATTGAGTTGTCTGTTAAGCGTCCATATGGCATACTGTAGCAGGGGGTTAGAGTTCAAAGGAGAGGGTGTCAAATAGAGATACATTTTGGAGTCATCCCACTTATAGACTGAGATCCTGAAAATGAGTGGGGGTTCCCTGGAAGAGAGTGTGGATGAGGAAGAGGACCAAGGGTCGGCAGAGCCCTGGGCTCTCCTAAATTCACAAGTCAGGGAGATGAAAAGGAACAAGTGCCCCAAGGTGAGGAGAGTGGCTTAAGGAGGGAGGGACCCTTGGGGATTGAGCAGAGACCATGCAATTTAGTACCAGGGAGGCCAGGAAGTAGAGTCAGGGGGAGGAGGATCTGAGTGATGGGGTTTGGGATGGGAAAAAGCATGTATTTTTCTTTTTTTAATTTGAGAGAGAGAGAGGGTGACTCCCCGCTGAGCAGAGAGCCCGATGCGGGGCTTGATCCCAGGACCCCTGAGATCATGACCAGAGCTGAAGGCAGACGCTTAACCAACTGAGCCACCCAGGTGCCCCAGGAAAAAGCATGTATTGACAGCACTTTGAGTTGCTTTGCTGCAAAGGGGGTGGAGAGACATAAGGCCATAGCTGGAGGGGGGTGGGGTGGGGTGAAAGGTTTTGCTGTTTGTTTTTTTTAAAGATGGGAGATGCAGCTTGTGGGTACACTGAAATAGTCCAGGAGGTAAGGAGAAGTTGTAGGTGGGAAGTCAGAGTCCATGGGCCGAGGCAGGCAAGGGGGAGGGGTAGCATAGGAATTCTCAGCCTCAGCACTACTGGTGTTTTGGACTGGATCATTCTGTGCTGTGGAGGGTTGTCCTGTGCACTGTAGAGTGTCGAGCAGCATCCCTGGTCTCCCCTCACTAGATGCCAGGAGCACTAGCCCCTCCAGTTGACAACTGGACAGTCCCGCAATTGCCAGATGTCCCCTGGGATGTGAGAGTCGATTGCTCTCGTTGAGAATCACTGCTACAGTAGTTAGAACATGGGAACGTTCTCTTCTGATTGCTTTTCTGTTCTCAGTGACAAGATCAATGGCAAGGTCACCTGCTAAGAGGAGGAGGGGAAAGGAGAGAGGTTTGAGGGGAACAGAAATATGTCCAGTACCGCTTGTTGAGTGGGTGTGTGTGTGCAGTGTGAGCAGTGCCGGGAACTTGGAGATGCATGGGCATGAGTGCAAAGGGAGACTGAAGCCAAGGGCGCCTGGCTGGCTCAGTCGGTAGAGCGCGCGACTCTTGATCACGGAGTTGTGAGTTCAAGCCCCACACCGGGCGTGGATATTACTTAAAAAATAAAATCTTGGGATGCCTGGGTGGCTCGGTCGGTTGAGCAGCCGACTCTTGGTTTCAGCTCAGGTCGTGATATCAGGGTCATGAGACGGAGCCCCGCATCAGGCTCCATGCTCAGCGCGGAATCTGCTTGAGATTCTCTCTCCCTCTCCCTCTGCCCCTCCTGCTTGTGCGCTCTCTCTCAAATAAATAAATATATCTTTA